AAAATGAATTTATACAGTGCTAGAAATTCATATTATTTATTTATTTATTTTATTTTTTATTATTTTTATTATTTTATTATATTTTTCCACATCATACATGTATTTGGAAAATTTAAACAATGTTTATATAAATCCCAGGCCCTGAAGATGATCTCAATAAAGATCGAAACGTTGGCACAATAAAGAAAATATTTTTCTAAAACCTACGTCACACCAGACCGCATCTCTCGATCTCCAAATAATTATACAAAGGTACTATCTTTTTGACCCACTACAAAATTAATATTTTGTTATATATTACTACTAATATTACTATTATTTCCAGAGAGTAACACTTTACCGCAGATAATTACTAAGATACGGTTAAAATGTCACAAAAGAAGTTATTTATAGTTTTAAAAAAATTAATAAAAACAAAAATATTTAACTTATACCCAAATATTAATGTGTACTATCTTTTTGTCACAGAATTTATCTCGACCAGCAAACATTGCAAACATCAGCTTTTTGCCTTAGAAGAACATTTAATATGAGGGTTCACCATTCTAAATGCTTAACATGTTTGTGATTCTTGATAATAAAAAAATTGATCAATTTTTTTTTTTTTTTGTAGTGTTTTGGTTTTAAATTTTAGTACGGGTTAATATTGTAGAAGGAATAAGTGGTTGGCTGTGGTTGAATTTTATAGCGTTCGTCGACTTTTCTTTGCCGGTCTTTCGGTATAACGACGACGATATTGAATTTAGAAGAAAACGGAGATCGGTTTACTCTATGATATTCTAATCTCGTGAATATTCTTTCATCTTGGTGCCCTCCACGAAAAGCGTGGAAAGCATTTAATTATGATGGAGTGATCGAAGTTTGTAATCGGACGAAAGTTAATAAGAACGAAGAGCCCCTTTCATTCGAACGCGTGGAAAAATAAACAACATAAAAACGGGCCGAACTCATTCCTGTTTATACAATCCATTGGGTCCGTAGTGGGACGCTTTTTCGGGAGCGAATTGGAATCTCGCAATTTCCCTTTAGGCCCCTTTCATATCATACTTAACACACAATGTCCTAATCCAAGTCATAAATCTTTAAAAAAGGTTTTTCCATTATCGTGTTTCTAAGGCGTCGGTAAATTTTTAAACGAAATTCGCCGATTGTGAATTGATTTTTGTACTGGCTCAAATGGGGTTTCCATGCTTTACAGGCATTTACTCGAGTGAGCGTACTAAACAACTCTGGATATTATAAATCGCAAGGCAAATCTCTTCTATCGATTGTGGCTTAAATATTTTTGTGTTTATCTTTATTTTGATAACATAATAGAGGATGAATATAACATTGTTGTTGTCATCTTTGAAGTACTTGATGAAAATAGTTCTTTTTTGGTTTTGTTTGCCTATTCAAGATTTGTTTTCATTGATTTCAAATCGAGAAAAACTAGAAAAGCAGACAAATCTCTTCTATCGATTGTGGCTTAAATATTTTTGTGTTTATCTTTATTTTGATAACATAATAGAGGATGAATGTTGTCATCTTTGAAGTACTTGATGAAAATAGTTCTTTTTTGGTTTTGTTTGCCTATTCAAGATTTGTTTTCATTGATTTCAAATCGAGAAAAACTAGAAAAGCAGACATTGGGCAATTCAGGCATTTCCAGATTAATTTGAAGTTAAAAGCACACGCATTTAGTGCCTTTATGAGCGCCTAAATGTTCGAAACTATGTAAATCTGTGCACCCTTTCATATTTTTTTTATTACCTACAGCGCACCGAGTTGCATAAACTGATGATTGGGACCGGTCCAAGGGGTTTTGGTAGGGAATAGTTCAGCCCTTGTCCATATTTGAGCCACTTCCTGAAACTTGGGCGGACTGACTGTTGTGGTGTAAAATCACCGCGATCCTAGGATTTAATTCCCAGGTTTTGCTGCATAATCTCTGGCCACTGCTTAGTAGTGCCTTCGCCTTATACGGTATGTTGCCTATAGGTCTATTCTTTTGAGCCTTTGGTCAAGCAATATAGGTATTCATTCAAGAAAGTTACTTCATCGTTTATACTCGTGCTTTTCTTGTGCAATATTTAATGTTTTTTGTATTTGATTTGGCGATATCATCGAACTTCCTTCTATGTTACCAGGTCATCTGCGTGTACTAAGCTTTGTGATTAGAACATCTACTACTAGAACGTAGAAATGCGATAGTACCCGTCCTTGAGTAGGTGCTATTTGTCCAGTCTCATGACCAAGTATACATGTATACATTTTATCTGAATTCTTAGCAGTGCTAATTTGCCACGCATTCTAGGTTCAAATCCTGACATATTCCTTGGGATTTTGATAAGAATTATTGTAAAATAGGTTGGTACCTTCTACTCGAAACTAAGCCCTTCTAATATTCGATACGAGTACTCGATACTGGTATCGAAAGAAATATTCGATACTACTCAAGTATCGACAGAAATTATTCAATACTAACGAGTACTAACTCATATGAGTAGTTTTTCGTTTATTCATAAATGATCATTATGAAAAACTTTGGTTGAAATACGCTCATGCGTTAAAATAATCAAGAAATTGCAGTTGTTTTCATCATTTTTTTTGTTTTGTTTTTTTCATTTTTTAGTATTTTTTGGGGGCACGTAAGTAATAACAATGAAAAGCTGCCAACACATTTCAACAGAATTGATATTAAATTCACTAATTTCGTGGTCCGCTTGACTACTTAATATATTACAATTAATTAAGGTTTTTAGTTGAGATAAAAAAGTCAATGGCATGAGCGGGATTCGAACCCACGATCTTCGGCTAGATATGCCCCTGCTCTACCACTTTAGCTATCGTGACCTCGATCCACTGGGTCACAAATCCCGCTCGTCACACTGACTTTTTTAGCTCAACAAACTACCTTAATTAATTCAATATTTAAACTTAAAAATGCTACTTAGTGCTGAGGATGTTGCGCGTGGTGTGTTAAGTAATGGATACTGCCATCGGAGTTCCCTACGAAACTGCGAGACGCTGTTAGACGCTTTCGAGAAACTGGGTCCTATATGAGTAGTTTTTCGTTTATTCATAAATGATCATCTTATTATTATCAACTTTGGTTGAAATACGCTCATGCGTTAAAATAATCAAGAAATTGCAGTTGTTTTAATCTTTTTTTTTTCTTCATTTTTAAGTATTTTTTCATACAGTGGGCACGTAAGTAATAACAATGAAATGCTGCCAACACATTTCAACATAATAGATATTAAATTCACTAGTTTTCGTGGTCCGCTTGACCAATTAATATCTTTCAATTAATTAAGTTTTTAGTTGAGATAAAGTGGTAGAGCAGCGGCGTATCTAGCCGAAGATCGTGGGTTCGAATCCCGCTCGTGCCATTGACTTTTTTATCTCGACTAAAAACCTTAATTAATTGTAATAATTGATATTTCAAGTTTATCGTTATAGAGTTTTGAGAAATTGATCAACGGTGATTACTTTTCAAATGTTTCAAAAGATAAGACGTATTCCCACTGTATTCCCAGAGTTTACAAGATAGCGACGATTCACTTTTCTTAGTAAAATAACTTCATGCCTTACTTTTGGGAGGAGACATGATCAGGTCTCACAGAAGATCACGAGAAGGAAGGCGAACACATTTTTGGGACTTGAAGACAAAAACATTTTATAAGAAATTACTGAAATTGAAAGTGCGAGGTGCGACGCGGGAAAGAATTATGAGTTACCAGAATTATCAGTAGACTTGCCAACCACCAATTAAAAATCTCGATTAACTTTGTTGACACCTGCCGCTAGTAGGCGCTCTTAACAGTAACTAATCAACTATCAGTTTGATGAAGGGTATGTTTCGAACGGTAAAAAACAATTCAATATTACTTGAACACTCGACGAAAAATCTATTTGAGTATATTTTCCGATACTAAAAAAAGTATTCGATTCAGTACTTGTATCGAATGACAATATTCGATACCAAAAGTACAGCGTTTCGAAAGGAAATACTCGATACTTTACTCATATCGATTAGTATCGTACGTCACTACCTATATTGCAGTTACTGATATTGGTACTGATATTTAACAGAGTTCGCTGGATTGTACTTTTCTTTGCAGATTAGTAGAAACATTTTTCTTAACAGGCCATCATAGTAACTAACAATATGTCTCTGGTTTTTTCTTTTTCTTGGCAGTATATAAAATTCTGCCAACTTCAATGTTTTCATATGCCTATTGAGTTGGCAGTCAACTAGCATAAATCCAATCATTTTTCCGGCTTTGTTGCGGCAGGTCGGCCGTTCGTTTGCAGCCATTGTCCTAGATATTGCACAACCAGATACGAGTTTTGATCCATTCGGCATAAATAATGCTCTTTTATGCTAGTTTGATATTTTATATAAAGGTTCGGGTCTGATTGGTTTTTCCCAAGAACCATCTCTGCCGTGTCAGCCACTTCATCTCAATTCAGTCCTATGTGCCCTGGGTCCAAGACGAGAGCCAAATTGTTTCTTTTCTCCTAATTATCCAATTTCTTTCACATACTTCTTTGATCCTTTCCGTTGAAGCAAGTGCATAGATCGCAGATTTGCAATCAGAGTAGACCGACTATCTTTTTACCTTCTACCTTGCTCATTAATCTCCTTAATCACCATGCTGAAAAATTACTCCAAAGTATTTCACGTCTTTTGTTTAAGAAATAATTACCTACTAAACACCAAAGATTGTGTAATACCGTTTATAAAATCCCGACATTTCTGTAAAGTGTTGTGCTCGATTATGTAGATGTATTAATGTATTATGCCCATGCATGCTTAACACTTATTTCGTTATTACTATTACGACGTCATCTGTGTGTCCACGGCAGTGAAATACTTTTTCAGATATTAAGTTACGTAAGTCGTGTACGTTTATTGTGCATAAAAGTGGTATGTTTTCTCCTTTGGGCTGCACCTAACTTGTTCCACCTGACAAAACTACAGTTTTTTAAAATATGGATTAATACTGTCATAGGTTCAGGCGGCAACATGGGCTCTCGACAGAGGCGTCAGCGTCGTGATCTGTAATGGCATGCAGGAGAAGGCGATCAAGACTATCATAAGTGGAAGACGACTTGGCACCTTCTTCACGGACTATTCACCCCCGGGAACAATTCCTGTCGAAGTCTTGGCGGAAAACGGTAAAGAAAATTATAACTTTAATGGTAACTTTAATTTTCTTGTAGAATGGTCCCATGGGTGTTGCCCAGATTCGGAGGCACATCTAGTCTGGAATTTAATCCAGTAATTTAATGTAATGATTATTAGAGTCAGTAAAGTTAAACGTAATGGTTGAACTATGGCTAAGAGATTGGGTATCAAAAAAGAATGGGAAAGAAAGGGAAATAACTCCTTTAAAAATGGCACCATCCTCTGGTACACAGATGGATCTAGAAGGTACGGGGGCAGGAGTATTTGGACCCGGAACCAAATACTCAGAACCCATGGGAAAACACACCAGTATCTTCCAAGCTTAGATTCATGCAATTGAAAGATGTACCCAATTCAATCTAAATAAAGGGTAAAAAACAAGAATATAGCAATCATGTCAGATAGCGAAGCAGCCATCAAAGCACTAAGCTCAAGTATCATTAGTTCAAGGATGGTGTTGAACTGCAAAACCAAATAAAACATATTAGGTATGCAGAATAAAGTCAGCCTCTGCTGGGTCCCAGGACACATGGAAGTAGAAGGCAACGAGAAAGCGGACACCCTTGCAAGGAAAGGGGCTGCCACACCGCTGATAGGACGCGAACCCTTCTGTGGCATAGGAATCCACACTATTAACGAATATCTCAGACAGAAGGACAAGAAGAAAATGAGGGGACTATGGAATTCACTCATTGGACATAGATAATCCAAGAATCTTCTAACCAATTTTGGTAAGAAAGAAATCACAGGATGTGTCAAAGGAAGCAGGAACAAACTGCGAATCCTAACAGGATTCCTAACAGGACATTGCAAGTTAAATGGACACTTAAAAAAAATTGGAACAATCCAAGATGGCACATGTAGATTCTGCAAGGAGGCAGAAGAGACACCAACACATTTACTAACAAACTGCGGAGCTAAATTAGCCCGCAAAAGGAAATGTTTTGGGATGTATAATATGACCATAGAAGAACTTCAACCACTGAAACCGGGCCTATTAATCAAGTTTCTTGATGAAATAGGACTCACGAATGTGCTTTAGGCAGAGAACGGGGGATACGATAGCTCTTAAAGGGCGCAGTATACCATACCCTGAAAAATTACATCTACATGGCTACGAGACCATTTATTATACGCAAAGTCCTCTTGTTAGTTGTTAGATAACCTTGGTATGGCAATGACAAACCGGTCCTAGAATGACCTTGCAATGAACAGTATTCGAATTTTTAAATATTTATGTAACTTGTTTGTTTAAAGAGGGCTTCAAGCTACGTAAAAAAAATTATTTATAACATTTAGTGAAATATTGAGTTTACCTGTAAACCAGTTTGAGCAAACAAAATATCAATTTACCCGTAAGCTATACAATCGGTTTTTTCCTAAGTATTCGGTAGATCGAAGTACTTTTTGCCGTTGTTTTTAAGAATACGTTTTTCCTCCGTCTTAGTAATTACAATATTTATTGCAATAATCCATTTATGTTTAGTGGTATAATAGACCATATTAATTATTCCAATTAATTATTCTTTTTTAGGTGTAAAATGCGAAAGGTTGTAGGTTGGTGTGCGAATGGATCGAAGTCACGATAGCTCAAGTGGTCAGAGCAGCAGCTTATTTAGCAGGTCGTGGGTTCGAATCCCGCTCGTGACACTGACTTTTTCATCTCAACCTAAACCATAAAAATTGAAATTTGATATTGAGACAAATTTTTCCATTTTGTTTAAAGTTCTATTGTGAAAAAGTGAGGAAGTCGTATCGATCTGTGTTCCCTTGCACTAATAATTCAAAAATTAAACTATCTGTATGGTTAATAAAAACAACTTACCTCGCGCACTATTGACACGGCACAGATGGAATAAATTTATTTTTAGATCCAGAGCTTCAGAAGGCACGGAGATTAAATTCCAGTTGCAGGCGAATTACTCTTTTCTTAAGCAAACGAACGTCATGTTTGAATAAGACGAGGTTTTTTAAAATGAGGACTTCAAGGACGATCGTCAAATTGTAGTTGAATAATTTATTCGCTGAACAATTTTATCACACTTTAGGTTCACGATAATTCGACACGAGGCATGGAAGCAACCATGACGTTCTCGAGAGTTGGCACTTCTGTATATATGTTCAACTTTTACCACTCAACTCGATTGAGTTACCAACTTGCGCAAAACACCTGTAAAAAATTACCACCTGAAGACCATTTTTTTCAAGGAACGTTCATAACTGAAATTGGTCCTAATAATTAAAGTGAGAGTACTAAAATGATGAAAAATACTGAACTTTGTAATTTACAAAAACGACATTGTTTAAACAATAATCCCGGGCTTTTGGAGTTTTACAAAATTACACTGTCAGCTTTAAAGCTTAGCATTTCTTCTGGGAATGTATATACTCTTATGTCGAGACCCGGTTGGAATTATTTATTCATGAAACCTTTAAAACCTCCTAATATTGTTTCTGTTCAAATTTTCCAAAACAAATCGTCTTCTTTCTCATATATTTTTAAACAAGTCGCTATAAAATAATTTAACTGTTTTAATTTTGTTAACTGTTTTGTTTAATTTTCAACTGTACAACAAGCAAATCGCATAATCGACGTTATTTCCACATCCCTTGAGCTAAAACAGTATTGTCCGGGTGTGTTCTTGGATATACACCAAGCCTTTGACCGAGTATGGCATTCTGGGCTGCTGTGGAAGCCCAAGAACATCCTCCCAGCAACCTATTACCTTATCCTAAAATCCTATCTTAACGATCGTTTCTTCCAAGTATCCCACAAAAATTCATTGTCTCCTATCCATCCTATTATTGCAGGTGTCCCACAGGGCAGCGTGCTCGCTCCTTTACTTTATTCAATTTATACCTCCGACCTACCTACGCAACCTAACACTATCACCTTCACCTTTACCGATGATACCGCAATCCTTTCTCCTGATAAAGATCCTGTCACTGCTTCCCGTAATCTTCAAAATCACCTAAACACCCTAGAATGCTGGCTCCGTCTGTGGAGAATCAAGATCAACGAAACCAAATCAACGAACATAATATTTACTCTAAACAAGAAAACACTCCCACCAGTATACCTCAACAACGTCCCCATCCCAATTGCGAACCATGTACTATACCTCGGACTCTGCCTGGACAAACGACTGACGTGGAACCCCCATACACGACTTAAGCGCACAGACTGTAATATACGATTTTTCATGTTTAAACGACTACTCGACAGACGATCAAATCTCTCACTAATAAACAAAAGAAAACTTTACATTGCCCTCCTGGCCCCCATTTGGACATACGGTCTTGAACTTTACGGTACTGCTAAGCGTTCCAACCTCAATCGAATCCAATCCCTTCAAACTAAAATCCTCAGAACAATAGTACAAGCCCCTTTCTATGTATCCAATCACACCATCCATACCGACCTAAATGTCCCTTTTGTTACCGAGCTAGCCCAATCCCGCTACAAAACGTTCCATTCCAAACTACTCCATCATCCGAACCCTTTCGTCCAAAACCTGTCATCCAACACATTACCTAATAATCCCAACAGAAGACTGAAGCGTCGGTGGCCCCGCGACAACCTTAACAATTGACTTCGGTCTCCTACGATGGAGTACATCTCGCTCATCGTATTGATTAACTAACGGCTACCATCACTGGTTCAAGCTTTCACGCTACGTTAATAATTTTATATGTAAATAGTATCCGTTTTACTTGTTGCGTCGAAGAATGCAGTTGTAAAAAACAAATAAAAAGTTTAAAAAAACAATTATTAAATAGAATTCCAAATTACATAATAATTATTTCAGCGACTATGTAATATCTAACAAAAAAATGAATATACATTGTTGTATATTTTTTATTTTTATTTTAATATTGAGTTAATGCATGTACGATATATCACAGTATATGTGCAGTTCTAGTGACTTTCCATACAATATTTTACTGATCATGTAATGACAAGTGTCAAAATAATGATTAACTAACTTAGAATCATTGAAATTTCCATTTAAATATTTATGCAAAACACATAAATGCGAATGTATGTATTATTATGATTAGATCATATATGTGTTTGATAGTTATAATCGTATTATTTATTTGAACTAATTATACTTTGTATTTAAGGTCTTGTTTGAGATGAAAAAGCTAGTGTTACGAGCGGGATTCGAACCCACGACCTTCGCCGCTAACCATTTGAGCTATCAAGTCCTTTGATCCACTCAGACACCAACTCCAGTTTTCAACCTACAACCTTTCGTATTTTCCCTTCTTTAGCCATATTTGCAAATATCGTGTATCATTATCAGAATTTGATTCTACTCCGAGGATCGACGTGAAGCTCAAGTGGTTACAGCAGCGGCGTATTAGCAGAAGTTCGTGGGATCGAATCCCGCTCGTGGCTCTGACTTTTCCATTTCATACAAAACCTTACATACAAAGGGTTATTATAATTCAATTAATTAAGGTTTTTAGTTGAGATAAAAAAGTCAATGTCAAGAGCGGGATTCGAACCCAGGACCTTCGGCTAGATACGCCGCTACTCTACCACTTAAGCTATCGTGACTTCGATCCCCTCGGGCACCAACTTCCCATCTCAAACCCTTTTGAATTGTCCCTCCTTTTTGCCATTTTTCATTCAAAATTGACGACTCGTGACACAGCTTTTTCATCTCAACCAAGGCCTTAGTTAAAAAGTATAATTAATTTAAAGCATGATTAGATATGAAGGTAATTGTTTTTCTTAGATTTGAGGAAAGGATGTTGGTCTGCGAGTTGGTGAATTCATACTGCACCCGCGAGTGAAGACGGACCCAATATACGACCTAATGCTTGTTCATCATCAATTTTTCTCTTCTTATTAATTATTTAATTATGCGTCAAATTGCTTTCTCGGCTCTTTTGTTTATTAAATTTATTTTACTGGGCCATTGTTGAAATGATCCCTTGACTTTGTCTCTGTCGAAAGCACAAAAGTTTTAAATAAAGTGACTGTCAGTAATCAGTGTCTATTATTTAGTCGATAGGTTGGTCAAACAACCGGACTAATTGTTTTCTCTGTTTCTAGCCCGGCAAGGCAGCAGAACCCTCCAAGCCTTGTCTCCTGAAGACAGAGCTAAATGCATTCAGACGCTGGCTGAACTGCTTATCTCCAGGCAGGACTTCATCCTCCAGGCGAACAACTTGGACAAAGCCGAAGCCCTCAAAATCGGGACGGCCAAGCCTCTCGTCAACAGACTTTCTCTCAATCCGGCCAAGCTGAAATCTTTGGCATCAGGTAAATCGTTTTGACAAGTTTTAATTGAATGAGGACGGCGAGAGCAAAGTTCCAAAAGGGTTTAACGCGGTTCTTTTCAACCGCACGCCGTCGGCGAGGGAAATCAATCTTATCATTAAATCGGTTTGAAAGTTTCTCGGGATATTGCTCATCCTAGAATTTAATTTCTCGACGTACCAGTTAAAATAAAAAAAAATGAACTATAATTGCATATGTTTAGCCAACATCAAGTTTAAGAGAGCAAATTTATATCACATTACAAATAATCAATCAGATTTCGTGGTCCTATTGACCAAATAACCTCTTTCAATTAATTAATATTTAATAAGTTATTGGTTGAGATAAAAATGTCAGTGTCACGAGCGGGATTCGAACCCACGACCTTCGGCCCGATACGCTTTGAAAAATGAAAAAAAAATGGTAAAGTAAGATAGGTTGTAGGGAGTTGGTGTCCGAGTAGATCTAAGTCACGATCGTTCAAGTGGTTAGAGCAGTGGCGTAATGAGCCAAAAGTCTTAGGTTCGAATCCCGCTCGTGACATTAACTTTTTCATCTTCACCAAAACCAACTTCCCATCTCAACCCAACTTTTGAATTTTTCCTCCTTTTTGCCATTTTTATAAACCTAAATAACCTCTTTCAATTAATTAATCTTTATGTAAGGTATTGGTTGAGATAAAAAATTGAATAGTTATTCAGATATCGTGAGATGCGGTCGAGTGTGATGTAGGTTTCAGAAAAACATTTTCTTTATCGTGCCAACGCTTCGATCTTTTATTGAGATCATCTTCAGGGCTCAAAGTGTTTGTCTTCTGTGTAATTGTGCCATCCTTGCGTGTCATGTTGAGAGTGCCAAAAAAAAATTGAATTTTGAAAAATGGCAAAAAGAAGGGAAAATTCAAAAGGCCACGAGGCAAAGGTCATGGGTTCGAATCCCGCTCGTGACATTAACTTTTTCATCTTCACCAAAACCAACTACCCATCTCAACCCACCTTTTGAATTTTCCCTCCTTTTTGCCATTTTTATAAACCTAAATAACCTCTTTCAATTAATTAATCTTTATGTAAGGTATTGATTGAGATAAAAAATTGAATTTTGAAAAATGGTAAAAAGGAGGGAAAATTCAAAAGGCCACGAGCAAGATGGGAAGTTGGTGTCCGAGTGGATCGAAGTCACGATAGCTCAAGTGGTAGAGCAGCGGCGTATTTAGCCGAAGGTCTTGGGTTCGAATCCCGCTCGTGACACTAACTTTTTTACCTCAACCAATACCTCACATAAACATTACAAATAATGGTAAAGAATTTACTTACAGGTTCCATGAAACAAATTCAAGTTAAACTACATTTTTTAACGGTTTTCAAGATTGTTTATGTTTTGGTCGTAAAATTACGTAAATAATTTTTAGCCTGATAAATCATTTTCCAATAGGAGTGTTTCACAGTTTATTAAACCTATTGGTAAATTAAAATAGTTTAATTATTTATTATCTACAAAACGTCATTTGTTGTTAATTATTGATTGTTACTTAAAGATGCTATTACCCTTTAAATACTGCATTCTGTAAATATTACTGATTAAGTTTTAAGTCTGACAGGGTAATTAACTGGTAGTGCCTGTAAGGGAATATCCTTTTATATTTCAGTAAAATCTGGAGTCTCCTAAGGAAGTATCCTTGTCCGATCCTTTTTACAGTACAAACTTCTGGTATTCCTAAGACCCTAGTCGTCGCCGTGTTTGTCGACGACACAGCTATCATCTATTCTCATTCCACTCAGCTACTTTCCTCAAAATCACATTACCCTATTAGAAGACAGTTACTGGATGGAGAATCAACGTAAACTGGAGCAAGTGTGCTCAAGCCAATATCGTACTAAGTCCTAAGAAAGTCACTTTGCCCTCCATTACGACTGAATGACATACTGATACCGATTGCTGAACATACTACGCTTTTTGCTGCTGCACATAAATAGAAGACTAACATGGAATCCACACACTCACTAATTATAACACAACTTGAGGAGTATAAATTCATATAGAGATAAAATGCGTTGAGTTCTAGCGCAAAAGAAATACAAATTGCCGGATATACTATCCCTGAGAAAAACAAAAAAGGCAATTATAACAGCGTATAAGAAAGAATAGTGGTTTTGTCATCAAAAGTTAATAAATTTTTAATGAAACATGTGACAAAAGCATCTAAAGTTAAATCGTGAAAATACGTCTTTAGTAACAAGCAGGTTATATTATTACAAAATGGACGTCTTTTCACTCTCGACAGCTGTTCGATTTTGAGCTAAGATCGTCGTTTGAACGCCGTTCAAGAAAAATTGAAAAAAGGCAATTTTTGAGTTGAAATCCGTTCAGTACTAAACTGACTTTAAACCAAGTGAACTCAGTGAATTGTCTTTCGTATTTAATCCTTTACTTTGAATATACAATATTCAGTGTTGAGGAAAGAGAGGCATAATCACTGTGAGTATGTTCATCCGGCAGAAGATATTTCCTTTTTGACGAAGGTCGAATCGTACTCCCGGATTTATTACTAAGCTTTTTCGGCCTGAGTCGTTCTGACAAGCACGGGGATGGGGTTTCCTCATAACAGGAACGACTCATGCATTAATTCATACGAAAAAATGTGGATCGGTGGAAAGAAAATTGTGGAAAGATGAGTTTCTGAGCTGAATTAAGCGAGCTATAAATTGTAAATTTAGATGTTCGAATCTAAAGTATGTATCTGCCCATTTTCTGCTTCTGGTGCAAAACGTTCTCAATCTGTAAAACTCCTGAAGGCAATAAAAACACCCTTTCTTTCCCCGCTCATAAAACGTCTACTTGCAAATAAACAATTCCACCGGTTCTCACCTGTTGCTGCTTTCACTGGCTCGTGATGGTATGGAGGATACGAAGCAGGGATTTGTGCTCCCCTGGCACTGCAGCCTTATTGTCCTTCCTAGTTCCCTAGTTCAGTCAATCGACTCAATCCTTTTCACAATATTACGCCATTGACGGCTGCTGCTATAATTTCATGTCCTAGGATTTCTTTTTGAGCCATTGAGCTTTGCATTCGGAGATGATATGTGTGGCTGTTTTTTCGCCCTCATTGCATATTCTGCAAGTGGGATCATCGTTATATATGACCATGTTATTTTCTCAGATGCCAGTGGCCGATCAATTGTTCTATGACTTCTGTGAGTCTGGCCCTTTCCTACTGCAGCAATGAAATTGCCAGTCTTGGAATGGATTGTTTTAGCTTAAGTTTTCTACAGCCGACAACTGCAAATACTTTTGCAAGGGCATGTTTTGATATAGAAAACTAATCGTTTCCACACCATAGTAACTATTTCTATCCCACGCTCCTGTACATGTAGATCGTCAAGTCCGTCAGCTAAGATGTTTACTCTTTAACTTTGCTTAAAGAGGATAAAGCTTATAAGGAAACTGGTGGTAGTGGTGAATTTGGACTACCAAATTTAAACCTGTTAATCCGTAGTTTTTATTTATTATTCATAAATGGTGTCGGTTTGTACAGAATAAACAAAACCTGCCTTTATTGCTGGCATACACTAAAAAGACATTTTTGCGACGATACCGTGGCAACTGGAATTTTCCACTACCTCAAAAATACTTATATTAGAATATAGTTCTTCAATTAATATGTAAAGCCAAAAGAGATTAATGAATGAATTATAATTAATTATACATGTACAATTTTTTTTGTTAAACATGTATTTTTGCAAGTTAATTCATTACTTATTTATACATTTATTTGATAATACCCGCAGTTTTTTATCAGAAAAACAAAAAAATTTAAAAACGACAAATAGGTCTTACTAATACTCATCAAAATAAGAACTATATAAAAAAAATCCTCCAAAAAAGAATAAACTTACATGGAAAAACAGTCTACCCAAGGAAGGATCTCATCAAAAAACAGTGAAACAGGACATCTTGTGGAAATGCAAAATAGTCTTTTATCTTAAAAAAATGTGTATGTAATGAAAAATTTAATGTGTGGTGATTAGTGATCGTTAGTCGATGTGATTATTCAGAAATTGTGAGATGCGGTGTGGTGTGATGTAGGTTTCAGAAAAACATTTTCTTTATCGTGCCAACGTTTCGATCTTTATTGAGATCATCTTCAGGGCCTAGGAATTACAAACATTGTTTAAAATTAACAAAAACATGTAGGACGTAGAAAAAAGTGAATTTATACAATGCAAATAAATATTTTTTTATATTCAAGTTTATTATTATCAATTATCAAAGTATTTCTACTCTGTAATTGTATAAATAAAAAAAATAATAAACGTAAATAAATAACATGAATTTCTAGCAGTGTATAAATTCATTTTATTTATTTTTTATTTTTTCCAAATCCTACATGTTTTTGTTAAATTTAAACAATGTTTTTAAATCCCAGGACCTGAAGATGATCTCAATAAAGATCGAAATGTGGCACGATAAAGAAAATATTTTTCTGAAACCTACATCACACCAGACCGCATTTCACGATTTCTGAATAATAGAAAAATTTAATTTTTTAAAGATGATTTTTTTAACAAAAAGAATTAAAAAGTGAAGAGGGAGATTTTTTAAAAATAAAGACTACATTTTACGAAAGTATGTTTTTGGTTTTCTATGTCTATGGGTAGAGTGGATCATGATAAAAAATAAATATTAATAACAATCTACAGAATAAAATAACAACAACAATATTATCAATATATGATAATATAGTTTTTTATAGGCTTAAAAATTTTCCGGTTAAAAAAAAACCTATACGTAAATAAAGAAATCAATATGATAGCATAATAGATAGGACAAAACTTTAATGATCTAATTAATATCAGTAAATTTGAATACTGTTTGGTCAACGATTTGCGCGAAAAAACAACTTTCCACATATGGAGAACCTATTCACCACACGAAATATGTATCTCTAATACTTTTATCACACCGTATGAGGTACAAATTATAGAACGTTAGAAAAATTGGTTCAA